ACCCACTATCATGATCCCAATTCTACCTTACAAAACTGGCTAGACCAGAGGATGTACACTGGTACAGATAGGAACTGGAAATACAGGGAATCCAGGATGGATGATCCTTTCAGGACCAGTGCTGAGAGTGGTGAATCCGGGAGGATCCAGGGAGGGTGGCATAAAAAGGGGGAACCGATTACAGGGATCTACATATAACCTCCTCCCTGGGGGACAGACAACAGAAAAGTGTGTGAAGGAAGACATTAGACAGTGTAAGATATGACAAAATAATAATTTATAAATTTTCCAGGGTTCACGAGGGAGGGGCGAGCGGGGAGGGAGGGGGAAAATGAGCTGATGCTGGGGGCTTAAGTGGAGAGGAAATGCTTTGAGAATGATGAGGGCAGTGAATGTACAAATGTGCTTTACACAATTGATGGATTGTGATAAGAGTTGTTTGAGCCCCCAATAAAATGATTAAAAAAAAAAAGAATCCCAACTCTTTCCGGAGTTCCTTGGAGTCTTTCTATAACACTTCTGATGACGCCTGAGGCTCCTGGAGAACATCCCAGGTTAACTCTCATGGCCGTCTCTCCGCCTCTCAGTCTGGACAACTGAGTTATGGCTTGATGGTGGAGAATGATTGACCTTCGTTCTGAGAGTAATAAAGTCGGCCTGTGGCAAATTGCCGATCCTATCAAAGCCAGGCGATTGTCAGAATTAAATATACTCTTGACTTTTTCCAGGTAGCTACCTCCACATTAAGCAAGCGAAGCATTTAGAACTCATTGAGCTTTCACGTCTCCTAATTGTAATATGAGACATAGAGGGGAGTACTTGGCATTCAAGCACAGGAATGCCCCTTTTTCAGAGGGTCTGACTTAGGCATACTGTTACTACCAGGATCCTAGAAGTGAGTAAATTTACTAGTTTTTAAATCTCATTTTAGTACTACCTTCCTCTTTGTCAATTTTTATAACATTTGCTTGTAGGAAAGGGCAAAAAAGTATTCTCTGTTCTTTAGCAGCTTCTCTGATGAAAGAGTAAATTTGTGTACAAAGAGGATCTAGTATTATAGAGGGGCTAGGAGACTTAATTTAACTTTCTTAAAGAAAATGATAGCAAATTTGGGCTTGAAAATGGTGTTTATAACACTATCACTATTCAACTTCCCAAGACTTCCTTACATGTAGCTGTAAATTTGTTAAAACCCTGAGCTAGATTTTGGAATACTGAATGTTTGCTAGATCATTGAGGTGGTGAGTTTGACCTCCTTTCCCTTTTGCTTAGCATCGTGTTTACCAGTTGTGTTACCAATTGTGTTAGATTAGTGAAGCAAATTCATAAGCATGCATATGTGTACAAGAAAGATGTTTATTTACAGGAGCAATTGAATATTGAGAAAACAGCCCAGCCCAGTCCAGATCAAGTCCATAAGTCCGATATTAGTCCACATGTCCGATACCAGAGTCTATGAAGTCCTGACTCAAGAAATACCTGCAATGATGCTGCCAAATGCAGGAAGCTCACAGGCCAGTGGGTGGGAAGTCTTGTGGATCCAGTGGCGTTGTAATCGTCTCCATATGGCTTCTCTAGCACCCAGGGCTGCATCAGGATAGGTCCATGCGGCTTCTCAGGAATGTCTCGGAGAGAGCTAGCATTAGAGGCTCCAAGGAAGTGAGGAGAGAGAGAAAGAGTGAGTGTGTGTCTTCTACATCCAAGGAGGAAATATACGAATTCCTAGAATCCTCAGGGAAAGGCCATGTCCAACCAGATGCCTCATTGGCTATAACCTGATTGACAGACTAGACTCCACCCCTTCATTCTTAGTCCTCTCAAGCCCCAAATTGACACCTGATTATGTAACTACCACACCCATGAACCTATTGTCGTTCAAGTTGATTTCGACACAGATCCTACAGGGCAATATAGGACTCTCCTAGGGTTTCCAAAGCTGTCTGTATCTTTGCTGAAGCAGACAGCCTCCTCTTTCTCCTGTGTTTTGATTGGTGGGTTTGAACTGCTAGCTTTGTGGTTGGCAGCCCACTGCTTAACCCATGCTGCTACCAGGACTCCTTGTTCACCAGTGAGTGAGCATTAATCAGCTGCACTTGTGTTTTATAGGGTGAATGGCAGTGTACTGAGTGCAAGAAATTCAACTCTCCAAGCAAGAGGTACTGTTTTCGCTGCTGGGCCTTGAGGAAGGATTGGTATTCAGATTGTCCTAAGTTAACCCACTCTCTTTCCACCTCTGATATCACTGCCATACCTGAAAAGAAGGAAAATGAAGGAATTGATGTCCCTGATTGCCGGAGAACCATTTCAGCTCCTGTTGTTAGGCCTAAAGATGCATATATAAAGGAAGAGAATGCTAAGCCTCTTGAATCCTGCAATTCAGTGGAATTCTTGGATTTGGCTCACAGTACCGAAAGTCAAGAGACCATCTCAAGCCTGGGAGAGCACTCCGATAATCTTTATGAGCAGAGAACAGATGCAGAGAGCATGGAGGATTGCCAGACTCTCTTGAAGCCCTGTAGCTTATGTGAGAAGAGACCTCGAAATGGGAACATTATTCATGGGAGGACAGGCCATCTTGCCACTTGCTTTCACTGTGCCAGAAGATTAAAGAAGGCCGGGGCCTCTTGCCCGGTGTGCAAGAAAGAGATACAGCTGGTCATTAAGGTTTTTCTAGCATAGCTGCGTCAGTGGGCTGCAGAGAAACCAAACAGGGTCCGGTCAGGAAGGAAAGTTCTAGCATTAAGCCTCTCCCCTCCATTTGACCCATTGCATCCATTTATCTGCTCCTATCAAGCTCTTCTGGGCCATTTTTGCTTCTAACCCCCTAGGAAAATTGAAGGGAATTCCATGGAATGAGATGATCGGTTTGGAGACTATTAACCTGAAAAACCCCTTACGTGACTTCATCTCCCCCCAAAGGTGACCTAGGAAGGGGTAGCCGCCAGTGAGACGAAACGCAGTCATTCAGTGACCACATTCTTTGAAACAAATCCTTTCTTTAGTTCATTTTACTCCCTTTCTCTTTCCTGTTTGGAAATATTCTCAGACATCAGAAACCCGTGGCTGCTCTTAGAGAAATGTTAAAACCAGCAAAAGGATGGTGACGTTAGGTGGGACTGGATCCCTGCATCCTGGAGTCAGGCGCCATGACTCTGTGATACCAAGATGAACAAGTCTTGCGATAGAAGGAGATTTCTGAGTATGCCTACAACAGCTATTAAAAGTTTTTCGCTAACACATCCTCAAAAGAATTTTGAAAAACATATACCCCTTTGCACATCTTAAAAAATAGATATGCTCAGCATCCATTGTAATGTTCCCCTATGTGAATTCACTGTACACATGTGAGTCAAGGCCAACCAAAATGAGCTTTGGTGGGTTCCTGGCAGCCCAAGACCTCCCCTTTCCCCCTTTCCAGGCAGCCACTTGCTCGTTTCCGGACTCTGGCCCTAGATTAGTTTTCCTTTTGCACATTGTTTATATCTAACTTACAGATGAATATATTTACATACAAAGGCATTTGTATATAGTTTTTGTCTTCGGAGCCTCAAAACTATATATAGACTTGGCTGATTGAATTGATAGAAAAAGTCCTGCCGTAGATGTAAGCAAAGCTCGTCCTCATTTTAAAACCATTCAGCCAGCCCAGACTTCACTCTTGGTGAGAAAACATCTGACTTCTCATTTTTAGTTAATAAATGGAACAGTGTAGTCTTGGGCACAATTCTCACTTCGAAAATAGGTAGAGAAGGTACAGAATTTTCCACCCAAACTTTGCCTCTATCGTGACTTCTTTGGGTGTTTTGTGTCGATTTTTGTTTTTCCTTTTTCTCTTTGGTGTCTCGAGGGTTTTGCTCTGAGGCAAGGCTTCAGAGTGTGCTTTCTAGATAGGTCTCCTTTATTTTGTGCACAGGGAATATGGCGACTGTGGGAAGGGAAGCTGTCAGAGAGAAATGACATCACTGGGGGCATGTTAATATGAAGGCAGTATATATAGAAATGGAAGATCTTGACATCGCTTTCATTGTAGCTGCCATGTCTGCTTACCTCGTGGAAAATTCTTGGTGCACCCTCAGAAGTGTGAATGTGTTCTTTGGAAGATTGAGAAGGAGTGCAAAAAATCACCTGGGTTGATTGTTAGGAATATCTATCCCCACCCCATCTTGACTTGACTCTCACAGTTGTCTGGCAGCTCCAGTGTAAGTGTGTTACTAGTCACACGTTTCAGAGCCTTGCTCCCACAGGGAGGGGTTTTTTCCCTTCCCATTTTGCCACTGGCTACCAAACAAAGTGGTCAGCACCACGAGACATGTACAGAGCACATAGGTTTTCCATTGAACAGTCTGTACGCGTTTTCTTTCTTAACATTGATTGGAATCCTCACAGTGTAACAGCACTCTTCCCATTTCCTCCCTCTGCTTTCCAGTTTGACTTCTTCCCTCTCCCTTGCTTTATCTTGAGCTTTATCTGTGGGCAAAAGCTGCACCTGTGATCTCATATGGCTGATGGCGCTGTGGAGGGCAGATCTCCCTGGTGTTATGGCCACGTTATAGGCTTGGCCATTGTTTGGTTGAGAGTTGAGCCATGAGGGTAAGTTCACTTCCAGGCTTGAAGGGTGCCTAAGGTACACCGTCTAATAGCCGGGTGTTTTTAATGATAAACTTAGAGATTTTAAAAACTAGATTGCACTTATACTCAAGACCTCTTGTTTTGCACATGAAGCTTGTCTTAATGACCCTGTGCTGCTATAACAGAAATGACACATGTGGATGGTTTGACCGAACAAATTACTTTTCCCCCAGTTTGAGGGCTAGAGCCCAAGTTTGGAGCACTGGCTCTAGGGGAAGGCCTTTCTCGGCCCTGGAGGAAGGGTCTTGCCTCCAACTTCAGGTTCGTTGGAGATCTCCATGTGTCTTGGCATCGCTCTTACCCTATCCTTGCTCAGCCCTTTTGTTGAATCTTACATTTC